TGCCACAAGTTCTGAAAGAGAATTAAACTTTTTGTGTAATTTCAGTTGAATGATTATGGACCTCTAATAGATCTAATTTCTTTCAAGTTTGTTAATTATTCGTCCTACCATTCATTTGAGCATTTGCTAAAACACATTGGTTTTGCGCAAACATAATAAAATGCTATAACTTTTAACCCTTTTTCAAACTCAATGTGAGTAGAATCCATCAGGCTAAGTGTGTAATAATGAGACGCGCTGAACGAATATGTACTGCGCCTCAAATGTCTGTCCCTGACGCTTTCATCATTAACACAATGAGCGCTGCTCTAAACGGGGGTCTAGAAGTATTCAGGTTTGGAATCCGTTTCAGTTGATATCTGAACAAAATTTCAGATATAAACGATTGAAGGCGAATCGGATGAATGAAACTTACATTTACATTGTAGAGACGGATAAATCAGCTAGTCCAATTTGAAAGCATATCGATTATTCAGTAAAACGAATTTTATTTAGAGAATATAATAGCCCTATGTGTAGTCAGGTGAAGCTAACTTAGTCTCGTCTCCTCAGCAATCATCTTCAGCTTCGGTTCCTTACTACACTTAATAAATTTACCTTCACACTAAGTGCACTCATTGACTTAGGAATTCCTTTAAACTTATGCGTTGATATTTAGCTGCTCCTGATGAAGGTTTCAATTAGGCAGTGTCAGAATTTGATGGTTGGCATGGTTTTTCTTCATACCTGTATTTGGAAACATACTTCAAAAAGTTACTGTTGTTTTTGTTACATGACGTGACATTAGACGAATCGGATGGAGCACTGTGAGATGGTAATAGGGCGATTAGTTGTGAATTAGGCATTTTAAAACGTTGAAATAATTGGTTTCTGTGCTCATAAGAGAAAATTTTAGGAAAACTTGACATTATAATTTCGGTCAAATTTAGGGTTTCTTGCAAACTGTCCAACCTGTACTCATCATACTCAACACTGTTATTACATATCAGAAGTGCAGAAAAGCTGGCCGTTTTCATCTTGTTGTATGAGTTCGATGACCACATTATATCAAACCATACGATGTTCAAGGGATTAATTCAAAAATAATATAAGCAAGTCATCGAAATACATGCTAAATTGTCACATTCCTTTTATTGTCTCACTAAAGAGGCCATAATGAGACATTTTAGAAGACGTCATGGCGTGGGGTCGAATCCTTTTTGTTTTTGTTTATACATGTTTGTTGGGTAACAGTTTTCTCATTTAACCTCTCTGCTAGAGTTCTGTATCGCTTATCTGTTCTGACAGGCCATCTTTCGTATCAAAGGTAGATAGATGCTGATGCACGCAAGCTGCCATCTGAAAATTTGTTTGATCTAGTGTGTTTCAGAACTATGTACCATGCAGAAGTACATGCTTGACGTTAACGATTCGGACCGACTTCGTTTACTCATGAAACTACTGAGCAATGATCTCGGAATCTTCAGTTCATGAGATTACCCTGATGAGCGGTAAGACATTGAGATGGAATCCGATGGCTTCTAATTTCTAACTAACACTTGTCTAATCAGGTTTAAAGCTCTACCACTAGTTAGTGACATTCGAGAACATTTATGCTCAAATCAATTCAGATCAACCTCAGTTCTTTTGTAGTGTAAAGTCAAAAATGTTTGGTAGTTTGTCAAGTTAACTTGTGTTTCATTTTACAGCAAACTCTAAAAATAATTTTACACATTATGCATTAGCGCTGTGGGTACGTCCGGTGTTTTCTCTAGGTCCGTTTTCTTAGCTTCCAATTTGATCCTATCAAGTTAAATCTCTTGTAATTAAGCACAATTCTGCTTCAATTTTCACAGTGACATCAAGGCGTTTCCTGAATTTCATGGGATGAATTTTTACTCAACTGTCCGCTGAGATGTAGAATCTGAATAAACGTGTGAATCGTTTCCCTCACTGGCAACTTTAGTCAGTCTGCTCGTTGTAAACAGCACGTTATCGAATATTGTGACCATAACACAAATTGTTAAGACGAAGGTGAATTAATCTAAGGAAAGCCAATGTCACTTTTTATTAGAAAAATGTCACACTATTAAGATATGCAAACAATTATTTAACTGATCAGCATCTTACTGTAAGAATCTGATCAAGAACTTGATTCTCCTTTAGAATTAAAGGTACAGTATACAGATTATGTCGAAACAACTGATTGACACGATGTCTCCCGTTGTCCGATCACATCAGTCCGGTTCCGGTATTCGTATCAGGCTACTACTTACTGTGCACCATTCTATTCACTGAGAGCTGCATTCTGGATATCAAGCTACTTTCACATACGATTCTTCGGTTATAGAAGATTTTTATATGAAGTTATGTTGTGCTCAATAAAGATTTTATTTTCCGATCTCCATCTTTCCATTAAATTCCTGTTGTATTCTATCTCCAAATCGACTTAAAAGATTACGTGCAGTGGGCTGTTATCTTGTCTGGTTCGGTTCATTGTTTTTGCTTTTTCACTTGTACGACTGTTGGAACAGGGTTTTAATAAATACTTTCCTGTCTTTAATGCGTTTCACTCAAATGATCAGGTTTTCCTCCTCTGTGTTGTCGTACTATGAGTATTTCGAATTATCTAATTTTGATGCACTTGAGCTCATGCATATACTTGCTAATAATGTCAACCCTATCGAAAATTTTACATTATTCCTAATCATCTTCAACATAATTCTGGGAAGATTTATTAAAGCCTTCTTTTATACACCAGCAAACTTTGCAACCGAAAGACGAAACGGATCATGTCTACCAATAAGTCACTATGTTCAAGGAATATGCCATGATTACCCTTAAACGAATACAGCTAATTCGGTGTCCACGTATCTTTGGCATCCCACGAATATAGTATCAGACGTCCTAAGATGTGTCTCAGCTCACTCACCTATATGATTCACATACGATAGGAAAGATTTGTTGCTCAGATTGATGATTTTTGATATGGTTAATTTGCGCAAATTAACTATCCAGCTCAGAGAACACAACCACATCAAAATATGATTCACATTTACGAACGTGGAAGATACCTTGAAATTTCATTTCACAAATGACAGGAATAAAGCGTATTATTTCCTAACTTAGGGAGATACTGTGGTTAATATTTCGAGTCGCATTACCTGAGTAAATCCAGTTATGTCCTCACTCTGATGAAATAAATTTTGTAAAATACGCTGATGATTTAACAGTATCAGTGTCTGTTAACTCCCAGCTAGATTGTACTAAAATAAATAGCTTTCTGTCGGGAGTCAGTAAATGGTTTGAGTCCAACGGTCTTATACTGAATCCTTCTAAATGTCAAACTGTTTATTTCAGCTTAGAATGTAAAACACAGTTAAAGAAGTCATGGATTCTCATGACAGTTGTCAGATTGAAGACAATAAATTAAAGCAGAAATCAAGTATCCTGGACTTATTCTTTCTTCTGATCTCTCCTGGATTTCCCATGTCTTAGCAACCTTCAGTAAAATATTCCGCCTGACATTTCACATTGAAAAGTTAAGACACTCGGGTATAACTCAACCCCTCCTTTTACAGTTCATTAATTCTTGTATCCTACCTATTCTTCTTTATTGTTCACCCTTATTCTTTCCTGGTTTGCCTGAAAAGACTACGTCACAATTCGCAGAATGCTGAATAAAATCAGCGGGGTAAGTGGTGTCCTAGTGGACCACATAGTTAACGTCGTTGTCGATAGGCACTTGATTTCGTGGAATAAATTTGCTAGAGGGATTTTGTCTGACTTGAGAAATCCGCTTTACCCTCAGCTTTCGCCTTGCATCTGCTCAGGTAGAACAAGAAGTAACTTCAGAAAACTGTATGCGCGCATGTCTTAGTATAGAAATTCTATGATACCATACTTGGCACGTATTTTATGTGTTGAAAATAGTGTCATGCAAGAATTAACAATGATTCCCAAACTAGGATGAAACAGCAGCTGTCCAGTACTCCTTGGTTTTCAATGGTTCTCTAACTGATATCAGTCTGTGATCAACTCGTAAAAAAACAGAACGGACCCTTACAAACCATATTATAGAAAGAACTAACGAATGTTTTTTCATCTAGTAAACAAACAATTTCCTCCATTCATCCTTGTATACCTTCAAGTTTTACTTTTGTTATTTATACCATATTTATGGTCCTGTTGCTTCTTTGTTTTACACTCAAAATTGCAAACATCAACTCACCTCTATTACTGCTGGAATCCTTGTTTTTCCCCTCACCATATCATGTAAAGAGAACATTATATTCAATATTTTTAAACGTGCTAGGATTTCTTTACCATATTGCCAATACTGTGTGAAACAAGCCCGCAGTAATTTTCACTTGTATTATTATTACCTTAGCTGTTATCATTATTATTTCCAGTTAATAGGCTGCATGTTGTTGACGCTACCTCTGTTGTAAATGTGGAAACTTTTCTGTGTGGTTAATTTTTATTTATAATTTGAGGAAATTAGATGCAATATTGTGTGTGATTAGTGCTGAAAATTCCATTCTGTATCCCATGTACTGTTTTTGGAATAAAGTAAATCATTATTATTATTGATTTTGATGCACTATACATGATCATGAAAACTCTTCCTTTGACTTCGATTAGAACGTTGACAATTAATGTTTCAATTTGATAGGTATAACATATAGTGTATTAAGGACATCAAAAGTGAAGTATTTAAGCCATATATTTGGTGGCCTATGGTATATTTAAACATCTTCCATGAGAACATGTCAGTGAAAGTGGATACATAGGAACTTCTCGCTGTTTTGTGAATGTAATTTATTTATTTATTTGTATAATGTCGCAACACATTGAAAGCTACACATAACATATATAATCGCCTGTTTTAGTATGGATTGTCACGATGTGCTTTGCATTTATCAGACACTGTATCCTGGAAGTAGTATACTGATGTGAACATTATAAGCATTCCTAACCACATACAGAATGCTCGAAATATTATAGAACAATAGAAGACATTATATGAGACGCATAATCTCATTAAATTTATTGTCATGAAAATGAACTGAAATGATAAAAAAAATTGGGGAAAACAAATAAATTCATTTTAGTATAATTTCCAGACATTTGACGGGTTTCACGTCGAGCCATGAAATGAAATCGTTATGAGAATCACTGTAAAATCTGTTAATGCTGGACGATTGTTTTATCCTGATTTCGTCTACTTCAGGAGTGTGCAGTGACAGTTTCAGGTTTTGAGGTGGGTTCGTCAGTCATTCAGCTACAGTGTCCCATGATTTCTAACTTCTGTCAGTTACCGCAAATCCCATGGGCGAGTAAACAACCTGACACCGGATCTATTTCATATCGGTAATGAGAAAATTTCAATCAAAGCTCCAAGTTACACTGCTCAGTGTTCAGAATTCAATAAGAATAGAAAGACGTGACAAGATTCTATGCTTCCCTGTTGGCATTTTTTTCTATCCTTAGTGTTTTCATAGGTGTGCACGGATGAAGTGACGCAAACTAGAACATAACAGCTGCTGAATACTACTTGGTGTTCAGTGGTTCTTCAAATGATATGACATGTACCGAAACTTGAGTAATTCAAATTAATTTTCAAATCTTTATATATACCAATTTTTAATATCACAAAAAGACATATAAGCGAACAATATTGTTTTCGATTAGATCTTCTTCAGGCTTTACTCTAATTTACATAGATTTATATATAAACATTTTTAACCAGTGATGGCGAATTTGTGGATCAAATAATAATAATTCTAATGTGGTAAATGTTTTGAACGTAGTTAATAACGATGATTATAATGATAACAAAATAGTGATAAGATTTTTGCAGGTGGCGATAAGAATAGCAAAGTTTGTAATATGTGTATGTAAAGACAATTCAGCGAATAAACTAGGCCAACTCTTAAAAGTTACGTAATACTAAAGGTGAAGTGGACAGATAATCAGAGTTTAAATCAATATCATAAAAGTATCAAGGAGATGGAAAATGAGAAAGGGTGGGAGGGTTTTGTATAGTATTCACCTAAGCCAAAGGAGATACAGAGGTAGAACAAACGTCTTGTGTATGCAAAGACTTGGATTGTTCTCTCGAATCCCCATAGCTTCAAATTGTATCTATCAATTCAACTGCACTTATGGAGCCAGTTATATTGGCCGTTGCTCTAGGAACTTGATTTTTCATGCTGGAGAGCATCTCCCACTATGGCTAAGTAAACGTCTAGTGAAAACGATTAAGATTTAGATAATGGATCATCTGTTGCGAACCGGCCACAAAGCCAGAGTAGAGGAATCCTTCTCTATAATATACCGGGTGCCTAAAAAATTGCCAAAATCATCGAAGCACCGAATGCTTCAAACAGCAGAGGCTTATGAGATTCACCTCAAACAACCAGTGCTCTGTGTCCAAAAGAAGCAAGTCCAACCCCTACTATCGCCCTGGCCTTCAGTAGAAGCTATAAAATCATGAATTTGAAATATTATTCTTCGTAATTCTTCTGACATTCAGCTTATTTTATGTTGGTGCTATTCAGCTGTAATCTATCAATATTATTGATTCGATGTTATTTAAACATTAATGTCGTTCATTCATTCATTCACTAAGATGCATATATAACTATAGAGCCTGATGATGAATGTATCGAAAGGAGTACTCTTTGTTCAATATCCATTCTTTTATTGAATTGTCTACACATACACATATTACTATCTTTGCTATTCTTATCGCCACCTGCATAAACCTTATTGTCAATATCTTTTATCCTTAAAATTATCGTTATTAACTACGTTGAAAACATTTACCACATTATTATAATAATTATTATCATTATTCGATCCACAAAATCGCCATCATTGGTTAAAAATATTAATATATAAATCTATGTAAATTAAAGTGAAGCCTGAAAAAGATCTAATTGAAAACAACAGTATTGATCGTTTACGTGTCTTGTTTTAATTAATTTTTGCTGTTTGGTCCATCATTAATTAACTGCACATTCAACTAAACTGTGAATATTTGCCTATATAACCTCACTGATATTTGTACGAAAACACGAAGAATTCATGAAAACTAGTCGTGAATACCCGAGCTCAATCGGAATAAATCAAATCTTGCCATATGGTTAATGAAAACCTGATTTTTAGACAGGTACACTATAAGACAATTCAATATTTTTTTCATCGACGAAATCATCTTAAGAGCTTGCAAAGTCGTATTTATACTTACAAAAATATATAGTGGTATATTATTGAGTAACAGGGGGTGACATAATTGATATAATTACTCAGAAGTGGCTTCAGAAGCGAAAATTAAAAGTTCTAAACTACGTGGTACTCAACGGCACAAAGATAGAAAATTGATAAGGTTAAACTTGCTCTTCAGTGAGAATAAAGGTGGTAGTTGAGTGTGAGTTTAACAAGTGTGAAAATATACAAAAGGAGCATATGAGATTGATAATGGTGAATTAAATATTAAAGTCGATATAACTAGCTCCACACGAGCAGGTGAATTTATAAACACACGTTGAGGTGTGTGGGGCAACTCAGACAAGTTCTCATAGAGAATGTATATTCTCCAAGATTTATGGAGAAAAAGATCAAGTTAAGGGAAAAGCCTGAAAGGCGGTGCCAAAGAAACTGCTATTTATGAGCGTTGAATTTAAAGGTGATACCGCAGCTGAGATCCTGAAGAATCAATTATGAAGATCACTGAGAAAAGCCTTCTTTATGGCTGAGCCACGTATCAATTTCTACAGCCGACAAATAATCAACGGATGTGTGAAGGACAAACTGCCACTTTGGGCCACCTCAATGCGTGTTTATAAATTCACCTGCTCGTGTGGAGCTAGTTATATCGACTTTAATATTTAATTCACCATTATCAATCCCATATGCTCCTTTTGCATATTTTCACACTTGTTAAACTCACACTCAACTACCACCTTTATTCTCACTGAAGAGCAAGTTTAACCTTATCAATTTTCTATCTTTGTGCCGTTGAGTACCACGTAGTTTAGAACTTTTAATTTTCGCTTCTGAAGCCACTTCTGAGTAATTATATCAATTATGTCACCCCCTGTTACTCAATAATATACCACTATATATTTTTGTAAGTATAAATACGACTTTGCAAGCTCTTAAGATGATTTCGTCGACAAAGAAAATTTCCTTCGTTGAATCTGTCTTTTATTTTCTCCATGACTCAATAGGTATTTTCAGTGAATTGAATATTTATTCATTTTTGTAATTCGTTTACGTGCACTAATGGCTTTCCGATATGCTATACAAATCCATCTGATATGTTTATCATCCTGTTGGCGTCTCAAACTTCCTTATATAAGAGGAACTGTTCATATGTGACCTAATGTTAATTGTCGATAGACGAATGGAATAATTAGCATGACTGTATGCTGATTGCATGTGTGTTCAAGATTCGCTTAAGTAAACTGTGCCCCCTCCGGGTACTTTATCAGGCTGATAAGATCAAACTGCCTCCATACATCATTTCAGCAAAGGTTTAGGCCTTGAAAACGTCCATCCTCAAAAAACATTTAACTAACAATCGTATCCTACCGATCTGTTCCAAATATCTCGACGATAAAACTGAAATGTCTTTCACTAAGTTATGTGGGAAGGGAATGCGGTTTTTAATGATACACACTTCTTTAGATGCTGAGAGATGGATTTCATTTCAACTTGACGAAATGCACTGCAATCCGTCAAATTAGATTAAAAAGACACTCGCTTCAACGAGATAGGTGAGCATCTTTCGCCGACTTTAGCACCATATCCCAAAGAGAAGGGAATAATACGACTGTGGATAAAAAAAACCTTTTATGTAGCACCTACACATATAAAAATAAAGCATGATATGTAGATGGATAGGGTTTATTAAATAGGTTAGTGTTTAAACTTACTAGTATTGCGCAGATGCTCATACACAGAGAAAAGACAATCAGGTAACCTGTCTGAAAATGTCGAAACAATGAATAATTATAAGAAGAAATAACACTATAACAAGGTTAAGAAAAATATTTGGATGTGGAATTTGAACGCAAGCGTTTTGCAGAGTATGAATTTGAATGAAATGAAAGCAGTTGTTTGAGCGGAATAAGATAAGGTAACTTCTTTTCACCAAATTCTTATTGGACGTATGTAGTTTCAGAAGTACGCTATACGAATGCTGAATAGAGAAAACTTTCCACTCAAATACCCATTTATCCTAATATTCCATGATAATCTGTAATATTATCTATAACGTTGTCTTTCGATACCTTACATTTTGTTGGTTCATATTGATATGATATATCCCTACGGAGTGTATACATTGATCCATCACAAATCCATCGTGTAATCTGCTTTTATTTTATGTGTCAAACGTCTTGTATGTTGGAAAAAAATATTCAGATGAGACAAATTAGTCTACGTTCCAATTACAGCGCAGACTCAAATTCCTCATAGAAAGGAAGGTTATTTTCATCTTAAGGCGAAAATTATGCAAAATCATAAAATCTAAGATTTTGTTTACAGATGGAGCTCCAGAATATCTCAATGATGTTTCCGATTTCACCATCTCGTTCTCATAAACATTAAATATAACAAAGTGTCAGCGGCTAAACCGCGGAAGGCCGAGCGTACACACACACATGATCAACGCTCTCCTAGGGATAATGTAGCTGATAATAAAAAGAGAGACAAAGGAATGTTGAGAGCGAGACATGTGAGCCTATCGAGTATGAACAAACCATGGATTCTCATGTTATATCGCACAATGACATTTCCAACATAATTTACTGTTTATAACTAGACAACTTCAAAACTTGATTTGTAATATGAATCGGAGCTTTCACTGATGCATATTATCAAGAAAACACAAAGCTGGGAAGTTAAACGTCAGAATTTGCATAAAATATAAAATTTAAACCCAAGTTTGGAATTCAGTTGAGAAATAGGATTAGTGTTACGTTCAACTTAGATGCTGTGTATTTATTGGGACAAGGTTTTCAGGATTCATGTGGTGAATTGCAAGAACAACACTTAAAGCAAATATAATTACGATATTAATGGCGAACATTCACAGTCAGAGGACAATCTTAACCAGAGGAAATTTAAATACTACAGATGCTACTAAGCGAACAGAGAATGTCATCGACATTACAGAGAATTCCTCACAAGACAAGATCAAGGCATTCAGATCAAAAGGCTCATAACTAAAATACAACAGCTGAAGCATTCTGCAGAGCACATTAAACAAAATCATCATATAAATTGTCTTCAATTGTACAATTATTGCAACTTCACATACTTTGGTAAAGTGACAGGCGAGGGTGGATTAGATTTATTCAGCATAAGTACCTAGCGAAATCTGGGTAAGCTGACACGAAAAATATGAAGAATTTAAAATACAGGTGAACGATAACTTAGCACACGGTCACATAGTACCATAAAATAGGATAAGACAAAAAATAGCAATATTGAAATCGAATGCAATACATTGGAAATGGAGATTGTTAATTATTTGAGAACCTGTGCAGTAAGAATGATTCAACAGCTAACCCACACAGCTGAATATTTTTCAACCTACACTAAAAATGAGAAGGAAGTGAGAACAGTAACGATTATAGGCAATTTAGTTTGACCGAACTTACACCCAGTAACTGGTACTTTTCGCTGTGTGACATGTCAAACAGAATATTCCGTAGGAAACATCTTCATTTTTCGGTGATGAGTGATTTAAATTCTGCCGATATTTCGAACTGAACTTGTACAAAAATAGTTCACAAAATGAAAACTGCAATTCTTAAAATTCAAAGGCTTAACTGTCTAGTATTATTCTCAATATTTACAAGTCGATACTTTTTGTGAATTTTTAGAAATATTACGATTACAAAAATGAGTGGCATCGCTAACTGTGAAACTGTATATATATTCGGGAGTTCAAATCGAACAAGGTGATTAGTCATAAAACTTACGTTTCCTTCTTTTGGGACATATCGTCGAAAAATGATCATGAGAACACTAATCCCGGCGAAAACACACCCAACAATGAAGATAATGACAGTGAACTTCATCTGCACAGCTTTGAATGCAAGACCCAAAAATGTCACAATTCCACTGACCGTTACTGTCACAAGGAGCGATATCAGGGAACAAAATAATTGAATATACAGAAAGGCGCCAGAGAAGCCAAATGAAATCAGTAAATACTAGAAATAAATGAAGAATTAAATTAGTATATTATTTACATTGATGCGCACAAAAACATATCAATAGCATGATGTGCGTCATACAAGGGATTTGATCTGTAGTTAAAATTGACGTAGTTTCACTCAATCAAACGCAACTCGTACATTCTCTTAGACGTATGAGAAGAAGAACATCAAATGAACTACTTCAGACACTTTCCCCAGAAACAGCACTATAATGATTGTATCAAAAGGCAAAAATAATAAATAACTATATGAAACCCTCCACGGATAACATTAAGTTAAAGGTAGAAATCGAACAACATCCCCAGTAAGTGTGCAAAATCGTAATTATACATTTAACTTAACTGTGTCACTGCCGCTCGGTGATGTCATCATCAATTTCATAATTGCCACCATAGCATATTTGAAATCACAGCAACCTTGAGGTCTCATAATTCAAGAGCAACTCAAGTCTACCTAGTGAAGATACTGCCTTATTCCTCAAACCTTTTGAATACCACATGACTTCACGTCCTTCACGTCCCCCAATGGAACATAGGGCTTCAAGCTAGTGGCTTGAAGTTTCTGTAGCAGTGTTTATTTTACAGGAAGGGGTGGCTGGCCTCCTGCCTAAACTTACCTTGCCAGCATTATTTCTGGCTTAGTGAGGTATAAAAGTGCGTTGGTCGGGAATCGAACTCCAGACCATGTGTATGCTCGGCGGGCGTCCTAACCGCTAAACCACCGACGCACATTACAATTAGTATTAGTGAACTTGAATGGTCGACGTAAGAATCTCTGCACTGAAAGTATCGCATTCCAATGGTCTAGAGTCTATGTCTCGACTTCTAGTTAGGGTGACAATATTCCGCACTCCCTCATGTGATACTGGATCGCCATTACATTTTTCTAGAAAAGATTTGGCAAAAAGAGTAGCTAAATTGAGTAAAAAACTTACACCTATTACGATCAGAAGATGGTCAACCACATTTTCATATTTGAATTTCCTGAATAATACAAGAATTATAGTTGCCGCTATTCCTATAGCTCTGAAATGAAAACTGAAACACTTTCATATGACTGACACGAAAATGGTCAACGATATAAGAATACAATTCGTTCAGTGCGCTAGAGTGTAATTACTTTATGGGCAAGTTTTGTTTTGATAAAGTCTCATTGTGTTATACAGTAGTGCTTACTGCTTTATTGCCACTCATAATCATATCAAAGTACTCACACGACTTCCTAACTTCATTTATACAGTTCCATTGTTTTCCACGTGATTTGATTGATAGTAGTATTTTCCATATTTCAGGTATGAGTGATCAGTCATTTCTATTGGATGTGTTAGGTGTAGACTCGATGAACAAGGATTCAGTAATCAACTGGGTCCTTTGACCTACAGAGCTTGTCCCTGAGTGAGTTTGTGGGTTGACCCAAATAGACAAAATAATATAATTTACAAAATACTTTGCAATGACTGTGAGTTATGTGAACTACATAGGTCATAATAGTAGGTAAGAGGTAGTCAGATTGTCAGAATATAAGAATTTAGCTTAGGTAAGAATGGTTGACCCTGAAAGGATTAGTAATTTAGAAAAAAGCTCAGCAATCGAAATTCATGCATTAACACACAGTCACACAATAGGGTGAGATAAGGGGGTTAAAATTCTAAAACGTAATCTAAATGGGTGGAGAGAGAGGTTGATTACTGGATCCTTGTTCGTCAAGTCTACACCCAACACATGCAATAGAAATAATTCATCACTCATACCAGAAATATTGAAAATACTACTACCAATCAAATCAAGTGAAAAACGACGGAACTATATAAATGAAGTTGGGAAGTGGTGTGAGTATTTTGATATGATTATGAGTAATAAATTGTGCTTGAAATTCCATCAGTAGGCATTACTGCATAACACCGTGAGACTTTATCCAAACAAAATTTACCCATAATGAAAAATAGTCATCGCCTAGAATCCAGGTTGTCTTTGAAATTGCAACTGCTAGACTGGAGGGATAAAATATGTGTCTTTCATCGAGGAATTACACAGATTGTGGGGATTGATTGCTACTCAATATATCCACTAAATGAAACGGCGGCATGCTTGAAAACTTGAGGCACCTGATCTTTCATTCATCACTAATCATGAGCCATTGTATTATGTCCATCGGTAAACAAGTATACTTACGTACATTTTTAGATGGCATTCTTGCCCCTTCTGCACATTTCCCGATGACGAAACAGGAGTAACTGACTCAACTTTACAACGGTGGTTAAAAGGAAGTATGTGGTGCAATTTTGACTACAGGATGACAAACTCTGAATAAGCTTAGCGTAAATTCCTACCCAGGAAACACAGAAAGCTAAACATATGACCAGTAAACTCACGGTCTATAAACAACGTTACTGTCAGCAAGACTTCTAAGCTTGAAGCCCAGTGTTCTACTCAGAAGACATGTCATATGAACGCAAGGTTCACAAAGACGTGGACATCAGTCAAACATATCGAAAAAAAAATTGACTTACATTAAAATAGTCGGCGTGTTATGATGACCGGCAAAATAATCAGTAATTGTCTCCCTAGAGCATAAAAATATAATTATTCACCTCGAAGACTTACGAATTGCTCACGACTAAAATCATGCACACAGTCCCCAGAACAAAAAACAATGTGTCGACTAACATCTGTATGATTCATTTTAGGAATGTGGAATAGTGATAGTGGCTTTAATTACCCAGATGAAGTAAAACAGATATCGGCTTATTTTTGTGTGCAATGGAGATTCTTTCAAACTGGACAGTGTTGAACAGTCCACTGACATTGTTCCTTCTCTGTAAATAATTCCTGAATTATAATACAAATGCACTTTAAAGGATAAACATAGAAAGAACATAGAAGAAAAGTATATCCATTTGCAGCCGGAATTAAAATACCTGAATAGTATGACATGTGTAGCGCCCAATGAACAGATGTGTATATGTCATTTAGTCGGTAAGAGTTTCTCTGAATCACAATAAATAAGGCTGAACGTGAGTGACTTCTGAATTTGAAACATTCATTAATTTTAAGAGGAATGTCATCCGTTTTTGAATCAAAAAGTGTTGGCTGACTACATGAGGCACTCTATTAGGCTATTCATGAATGTTGAGAAAAGTGATATCAAGTTTCAGTTCAGTTTAACTGGTTCACTAAACTTTCTGTGAAGACGTTTATTTAATTCTTTCAAATTCGCCTCTCACATTCCGCCTATCGCTGGCTGCGATAAAAATTAAGTGATTCTTCTTTCAGACGTCTTCTATGTATAACCCACCTGAATTTTCTGTAGGATCAAGCAGGCGGAGCCAGAGGAGTCTTGAATCATCCCGCGGGTGCTATTGATTTCTGCAGTCTCACCGACACATGTTGTTCCATCAATCAATGTCATGTATGACATTAAAACTGCTAGAGCCACAGACGAACTTGATGGTTAACTATTGATATCTAACAGGTTTTCTGGAAGTTATGGCATAGATATCATCATATCTGCACTCAAATGCATCTTTTGCACACCTTAATACTCAAGTTTACATTTACTTCGATATTGAAGAATATTTGGTTTATAATATCAGTAATAATGTTGATGATATCACTTACCTTTCAAAGCTATCGGCTTAATTTACTATGGAATTAAATAAAATACTCATTTATATAGTATCTTAGAATTTTTGTTATTGAACTTCGATCGTGAACAAACGAAGTTGATTGACAATATTGTTTATGTAACTGCGATAAGGAGTATTTGGTTTGAATCTACACTTGACTGCCCTTCAAATTTATCGCTGGTCTGATTGTGAATGGGAAAGTCATCAACTGCAGCTATTTTCCATATTCCTTCGTTGTTGGACCGTGGTTTATTGCCTTCCCCACCAGATCTATACCTAAGGCATGAACTCGCACATACAAAAGATGTTCTTTTATATAGTTGCTGCTTTCGTCATTCACTTAAGGTCGTCTTATGTCTGTGGATATTCTTAAACCCTGTTTAATTATGTCGTCATCAAAGTTCTCATAATGTAAAGATTTTTGCATTTCGCGGCTTGATGTTTCAGATGCAGTTGATCTAAAACAGAGCCTTAGTTCGCAGATACCATTTGACATTCCAAAGTCATGATGACATATGTGTATCAACGGGTTTTTATTACTGACAGCGGCGGGAAATTAAACTGGCTGTCATCTCCTTGGTAGAAGAAGTCGTTTAACAACTGTTGTAATTGTGTGTCAATCATTTGTTCTTCGAGAGATTCACAACAACATTTTTTGTGAATATTGTTGTTTCGTAAATTGTTAGTAGAATGTCAACTATGCCTTCAACCTGTACGGTAACTTCCCAGTGTGATTATCAACCCACAATTCCAAATAGCATTGAGAGACGGAGTATTTCTACATGTGAACTAACTGGTTGACACTATTGTGAATAGACATATAATGTCATGTAAGAAACCAGCGAATACAATACTGTCAGACCCCGAGAATCCTCCCTATACTCAGCTCTCTCCTTTCATTTCATATGGTAGAACAAGAAGTAGCAATAGAAGGCTATATGCTAGGACTACCAAATACGAAACTCCACAATACCATATCTGGCACAGCTATTATGTGATGAGAAATCCGTTAGGTATGACACGGTCAACTTACTGCAGCACTCTAACAAATAGTCTCATTAGTCTTTGTTTTCCTTTCCTCGTTACTATTACACTGTTGTTCTCATCTTCTACCACACATCAAGTTTATATTTCATATCCTGTGATGCATTGTTTGAAATGAAATACTCTACGCTGTTCTTTTTCTTAATTTTTAATCTTTATTTATTTTATTTATTTATAACTTATTTATTTTATTTTTATTTATTTTTGATTTTTAAAAATCTTATATAATTTATGAGGTAATTGGACGCAATGTATTGCAATGCACGGTGAAAATTCCATACCTGTACCACAAATACTGTTTGGCTTAAAGCTGTTATTAATATTATTATATTATTATTAAAATCTCCATCCACTCTGTTTCTGTTTATTCCTACATAGAAATATAGTCTCTGTTAATACCACAGCTCATGATGCTAGTTGCAAAATACGAAAGTAGAATCACTGCAGATGGAGTCGCTTATATTTTCTCTTTATCCAGATTCGTCGAGCGAAGTAGTTAGCTGTAGCATTTCATGCGACAGGGTACTGTCTAGTCTGAAACTTACTGTTTCCTTACGAGAAATTCACTCCGGCACTTTGAATTTTCAGACCTATGGATACGATTTAACTCTCAGAAATAATAAAGAATTAGAGAAATAGACGTTTTCCACCTAATCGTATAATTTAAGATATTGCACATTAATATAAAAGACAAAGAAGCCATTAACGTGGAATCAGATGTGCAGTTAATTTTCTCAAATTTCAAATTCATGTTTATATGCAGTATCGTTCCAATGAACTTCTTGTGGTACTTAGCTTTGTCTAGGAAAATAGAATCCTCAACTAACGAGTACTTTAAAGCATATTTTCAATCAAACTGTTGTAAATTTATCAATATCAAAACTCACCTAATGCTGTATTGATGGACTGCTATTGACTTTTCATATTCATTCATTTATATGTTTCAATGTGTATGCGTAGGATGCATACGCTTTTAGTGTACTTTGAACAGCTTCATACCTGCTATGAGTACATTAATTGTCATAAATACATTCTGCCTTATGTGGTTGGATGATGATTATTTTCATTTTTCCAGTATTGTGAACCAGTGATGAATGAACAATTCTGTTCTTGTTTTTAATTCACCAATAGAGTACTTTTCTCCTCATCTGATATTCAGTACAGACTGAATGCAGTCACTAAATTACTGGTGGATAATCGTTTCGATAGCTGTTTAAACCGATGTAGAAGACCTTTTTCAAAATTACAATTTGTTTAATTCCCAAGATAAATGCCTTCACTAAATAACCATTTCATTCGGAAGTAAGTAGTCGAATGTATAAGACAGGGATTGTGCTTGGTCATGGGTAGAACCTATTATGCAGTCAGGCTTATAATTACTGAAGGAACTGAAAACATACCACACTTCAAATCCTAAAAGTGTGCAAAAGGTTATGTCACAACCCACATTATACACCGATGTGCATGTGTGTGTGTGTGTTCACATGCATGCATATGGGAGAGTGGTTGTGGCTTGCGTTGAGGGAAATCACAAGATACTTGGTGCACATAGCTGCACATGGCTCCAGATGATACATTCGAAAGGATTAGCATAGATATAATAATAATAACATCTTTATTCCAAACGGTATTTGTGGTACAGGTATGGAATTTTCACCGTGCATTGCAATACATTGCGTCTAATTACCTCATAAATTATATAAGATTTTTAAAAATCAAAAATAAATAAAAATAAAATAAATAAGTTATAAATAAATAAAATAAATAAAGATTAAAAATTAAGAAAAAAAACAGCGTAGAGTATTTCATTTCAAACAATGCATCACAGGATATGAAATATAAACTTGATGTGTGGTAGAAGATGAGAACAACAGTGTAATAGTAACGAGGAAAGGAAAACAAAAACTAATGAGACTATTTGTCAGAGTGCCGCAGTAAGTTGATCGTGTCATACCTAACGGATTTCTCATCATATAATAGCTGTGCCAGATATGGTATTGTGGAGATTTTGTACTTGATAGTCCTAGCATATAGCCTTCTATTGCTACTTCTAGTTCTACCAGATGAAATGAAAGGAGAGAGCTGAGTATAGGGAGGATTCTCGGGGTCTGACAATATTGTATTCGCTAGTTTCTTACATGACATTTTATGTTTATCCACAATAGTGTTAACCAGTTGGTTTAACGATATCCCACTTGCCCTACTAACAGCTTTTAGTGCTCTTCTCAGAGAAGCAAAGTCTTTCTTAAGTAGTCCAGGAAAGACTAATGGGGAGCAGTAAAGGTGGATGGGTAGAATACAAGAATTTACAAACTGAGAAACCAAAGACTGTTTTATACCAGACTGCCTAAATTTCCTAATGTAGAACAATAAGCGAAACATCTTTCTAGTAACTATCAAGATGTGGGAAGACCAGGAAAGATAAGTGGAAAAACTCACCCTAAGTTACTTGGCATTAGATGTATTTTCAACCTCTGTGTCTTCAATGAGACTGGGGCCATGTGAGCTAACTAGTTGCTGTATGTCACGGTAAGTCAAGGCTGAATAATACTTCTAACAGAAGGCATCAGATTAAGAGTGCCCTAAAAACCATTATGAGGATTCTTCAAAATAACACTTGAGTAAGGGTATGAATCTGAATGCGATGAATTCTCACACTCATTTAGGAATAAGCGTTTCGGTAATAGGCAACTGAATGGATAAAATCAAACCCATCTGGAAATCTAATGATATCACCTTGATAAAGAAACTAAGATTTTCAACAATATGAAATCAATCAGTTCTTCCATGTGTTTCGAAGATTTGTAGTGCCATTTGAAAGATCACTAACAGTCTCCAGAATGTTATTATCTAGACAAGCTAGTTAGTGAAGACAGCAAGTGAGAAATAGCAAAATGGAACTCTGGTAACGACGCAATAATCCAGAAACTGCCTCCTGCCTTGTAGAATGAAGCCCGAGCGTCACACACTGAGAGGACTGTTAAATGAAAGTGAGCCTATGGAAGAAGAAATCAAGAAATGAGACGAAGACTCGAGCGTCAACAGAAGAGAAGATGAAATGAAAATGTTCTGTTTAATATCTATGTTCCATTGCTAAGTATTACAAATGAAATATAAACATGTATGACGTAATACGGATCATTAACAAATTTGTCAGTCTGAGTAAAAATTGAAAGGAACTTCTCATTTTAGGTGAAAGTATTTCGAGGTGTCTAAACATTCATTCTTCTGTGGAACGTTTGAAATGTAAATAAAATGGCCAAATTCATTGAATAAACATTTTTGATTAGATATCTCATAAAAACAAATCTTTCTGTAGTGAAAATTAGAACAACAAATTTAAGCGAACAAGAGACAGAGCTTTACAAATAAATATTAGATATAAACTCATCATTGTGATTTGTCAATAGGAGGACACCGATGTGCACACAAAAACTGAAATTAATCATAATACTAATAATAATAATGTTAATAATAATGAAATTCAAAATGTGCAGCGGTATGTGATAAAAAGGATTTGAAAGTTTGAAATGTAAATCGTCACATATTCTACCGTTAATATGCGTGAACAAATGTTGGCATTACGCGAAATTTCGAATTACACACGCATAATTTTAACCAGACAACGAGAAGCATAGGGAAGCTGAGAAATGAAAAACAACAGGATAACAACATAAATGTACAGAATTTCAGCCATAATAACCTTCAGTTTACAATGCTGAACTAAATGAATCATGTAAATAAATGAAATATGATAACATAATTATCATAAATGTTGCAATTCTGATATGAATTTCTGCAATTTTGAAAAGGCAATAAGTGCAAACTAACCAAACACACAGCAGGATTCAAGATACAGCCTGGTCACATCTTGCAAATATTCTGAGAAGGAAATTTTGGGGTAAAACACCTACGATTATTTATTCACCTTAACACTGAGTTCTTATGAATATTTCAAGTAAAAGTTTTTAAGTAGTAAAATCTAACGTTCTCGAAAAAAATATAAAGGAGAATAATCATCTGCTCGAAATATAAGGTAAAATATTACCGTCTAAGTAAAAACAGCATCAATTTCATTTTTCCAAATTAGAGTGAATTATTGAGAAGCGGTGAAATGCTGCTTGGTATCTGTGCTAGTCAATACACCTGTTTGTTGCAATCACTCATTTCATTTGCAAATTTTCAGTGTTTATTAGTAACATCCTGATACATCTTCAAAAATAAGATTCGAACGTACCATGGGAATAACATTGTGTCTAGACTCCACAGTTTTATTGCAAATTCTTTTCCCATCACTGAAAATAACTGCACCGTCGATTGTAGGTTTCACAACAAAGTGTGACTGATTGCTTGAAGACAGATTTTACCAACAATTCCTGATATTTTAACGGATTTTTATGACAAAATGAATGACACTTCAAATATTTTCTAGAAATAAAATGAACGTTTCCGAAATCTGTAGATCTGCTTACACTTCACCATGCACCACATAGGTAACAGGATTTCCAGATATCCTAGAAAATTATCGAATCACTCCTACTGCAGGAATTCTCAGATATCTCAGTAAGTGCAGCTTCGTTGATTAGTGTTAGTTTGATAGCTAGTTTCAGATGGATATGTCTGGTAAATCAGGAACAATAGTTAGGACTCTCGCCGACCATGCACATGGTCCGAGGTTCGATCCCCTGCTGACGCACACCTGATATTTATGGTCGGCCTTCAAAATTTGGGCTACCGATATCCATGCTGAAAATTTCTTACCTGTACCAAAAATACAGTGTGGAGTCAAGCTGTTACCAAAAAATAATAAATCAATTTTACGTCTGTTACTAAAGAAATGGGCTGACAATATTCCCTCAGATAAGCGAAATATTTACTACCAAGTGAATATGAGGTGGTTGGAACACATAAACATAGATTATGTGGGTACCTTCAAATTACGATTATGCACAATCAATTTATCTAGAGATATCATCAGTAAGTACTTACTTTCTATCGTAATTTTGTGAAAAAAAATTATTTCCCTGGAAGTATACTCAAAGACACTTTCTTAAGTGTTTCCATATGTTAAGGGTCCCAGTTTTCAGCATTTGAACAATGAAATATCGACGAATCAAACATTTTGCTTCAGCTCACAATAATTTCTCTGGTGCTGCGGTGGATCTTCCAACTTAAAGATCATATGGAATGATCAAAAATATACTAAACTTTAACACTGCCGTAGCGTGAAATTCCGTATTAGTATATACAACTACACATTCTACAGTTGTTGTTTTTTTCCTTCGCCTTCCCCAGTGAAACAAAGGGCTTCAAGCTAGTGGCCTAAAGGTTTTCCAGCAGTGTTTATTTTGCAGGATTAGGTTGCTAGCCTCACGTTCAACACTTCCTCTTTACCAGCATTATTTCTGGCTTAGCGAGGTAAAGGAGTGAGTCGGCCGGGGATCAAACCCCGGACCATGTGCATGGTCTGTGAGCGTCCTAACCACTATGTCACCGATGCAGCACACATTCTATAGTGACATACAACTCTTTTCTCCATTCAATTGAGAGTGAACATATACAATTTCAAGATTACGGAGATAAGAAGATCTCTGAAATACCATCTGGCTTATTGAAGTATTACAGTAAGTCAGGTGAGAACAGAAACACAGTGAGTAAATCAAAACTATAGGAACAACTGGTCAAGTTATCGATACAACCGAGAGTATTATTGATACATTCCCTTTCATTCTTTTTGGGGTAAGAAAGAAAATAATCGCCATTAGATCTTCTGAAATCATGCACCTAATTAAATATGAACACTGTAATGTCAATCTACGTCAAAATGCCAACTAGATAACTGCCGTCTATAGTAAAATCCGGCTAGGCGATAAGTTGAAAACATTCGAATAAATTCGACAACATTAAATTTTTTTCAGTGTTGGAGTAAAGAAT